CAGATTTCCTTAACACTCTGAGGATTCAAGCGGGAGGAGGGGCAAGGAGGCATTTGTACGCCACCGAGGGCGGAGAAAAGGGTCTCTTCCCCTTCCCTTCCCACTCCGCGCGGGTCTCTCTTGGGACAACACGACGCAGTTCTGCAGCAAGGGGGCCGCCCGAACCCAAGCCAAGCTCCTCCTCCTGGTGGCTGCGGTCAACAGGCTGTTCTGGTCGCTCAGCCAATCAAACGGCGGGCAGGGCTAGTGGGCGGGGCACTCGGTGAACCTGCAGGAATCGCGCATCCCCACAGAGCGCAGCATCAGTACCACAAGCCGGAGAAGACCGTGAGACGCCCCTCATCTCTGCTAGCCGGTGGGAACCACAGCCGGAGCTTTGCCAATGGTAGTGCCAGCCCCAGCCTCTCCCCACCGAGAGCGGATTGCAGAAAGCCTCTGAGGTAAGCCGCAGCCCGTCCATTGTCCCGTAGGACTCCTGAGCTGCCGCCCTCCTCTTTCGCAGCGCTGGCTCCTAGGGGATCAGATCCGCGGGGGCGGGGGCGACCTCGGGAGCCGCGTCCCTCGCGGATTTTAGGTGCTCTGCGGTGAATGCAGCGTCTAGTTGCGCATCGCTCTCCCTCGCCGCTGGCTGGCTGGCTGGCTGGCTTTCAAGAAAAGACAATGGAACCGACCAAGTTCCCGGCGATGCCTCTTTGAATTCACTGAGGTCGGGAAACAATGGTGTGTATGTGCGCGTGTCTAGTCATCGAGCCCTGCACCTAGCCACCGTTTCTAGGAAGAATTAAAAGGCAACACAATGCCGGATTTTATTTTTTCCCCAATCAGAAGGCAGAGCATTCGGGTGTGTGTGTCCATGTATGTGTATGAGTGATGTCATGGCCAGTCACGGCAGCAGGAAAAAAGGCATTGTAGTGGAAAACGGTGGGGTGCTAGCCCCTAGCAAAAGAAATTGCTCGTGGACCATGTAGTATTCAGGTGCCATGGCTGATCTCCTTGCCTTGGGCTTTTCCTTTATCGGAGAGGCAAAACACCCAGTTATGAGGCCTTTGGTATGATCCAGCATCCCTTGTGCTTCCATCATTCGTTATTTTTCTTGATCCATCAGAAAGAGGGAGACACCCTTTCTCTTTGGGCAGGTCCTAGGCTTTTACTCTTCTGAGACACTCTTATTGTTAGTAGCAGATTGATAATTAGGTGAGCTTCTAAATACATCCAACCTGGAAAAACAAATGCATTGGTAATAAACACCACCCCACCCCACATGTCCTGCACCAATGGCTGTGACTTAAGGCCATAAAGAGAATGCAGAGTCATGAGGACTGGGCAAGGACCCTCCAGTCCATGAAATGCACATTCTGAACTGCAATAATTGCCATAATTAACTTAATTCCAGGGTTTGACCCAAGCCCACTTTTTACTGAAACACCCTTTGAAAAAGGAGGGAGGGGGGGTTAACATTCAAAATGTCTGCCCTGTGGATAATAGATTAGTTTTACTCATATCTGCTTATGGAAAAGACCAGTTATTTATAGCTTCATTTTCTTTAATGGTGTTCTGGGGACCCTACAAAATCTTCCAAGGCATTTTAGAGGAAACCTGTGAAATACTGTATATGCTTTAAAAATGCTATCTTATACGATTATGTTGGAGCAGTTCTAATAGTAGTTAAACAAAGGGGATGCTCTGTCATCTGACACAGCTAAGGAACGGAAAAGGTCTTCAGAACCTTTTAAAAAGGAGAGGTCTGGTGTGAGTGAAAGACCTGGTGGGATGTCGCGTCAGCCATTTTACATGAATTAGAGCCCGCACTGCTGTAGTATCACCACTGGATTATATGCTGGTATTACAGCACCTCAGGGTCCTCTTGTATCTTGTATCTTCCTAGGGAGTGTTTATTTATACAATATGAAAACTATGCTTGTTTCTATCTTAAAGAAAAATATCTGGTGGCACACTGGAACTAACTTTTAAGAAGCTTTATATATAAACATTTTATACACACACACACACACACACACACACAATGGTATAAGTTGGTTGAATCTGGGAGTTTCTGAGGAAGAAGGGAACAAATCTAAACTATAAGCATTTGTACTACGATTAGTTATAGCACCTAGTTTAAACATTGTAGGATACTGTTTCAGTTGTCTGAGTTCCAGAGAGTGGAAATTTTGATGAGAGAATGGAAATCTTGCTTTTAGGAAGAAATTATGTATCTTCTCAATAATTTTGGAATCTTCTAGGCATGAGATATGTGGCAGAGATGATATTTCTGGAAGGACAAATGTAGGGACAGCTTACATGGTCTCCTTAGAAGTGACACAAGGCCATTTTAGGAACAGCTTGGCTGCAGAAACATGGCTGAATATATATACTAACACTTTGTGCTAGTGTGCAAGAACTTGAGTAACACATATCTACTTTCTCCCACTTTGAAGCATGGTAGAAGAATTGGAATTGGGAATATGAAGAAAGGGAATGCTTTGTACTCCAGAGATATAAATAGCTAGATGGACATACAAGTGGAAGTAAATATGATAATTTTCTAAACAAATTTGTGCATGCTATAGTTCCCAAGGTGGTAGACATTTGCCAACAGTACCTTCAGCGTTGTGGATCTGCTGTAAATGCTAGTGGTACCCTTTGGGTGATTAATGACTGCCTGCTTTTCTCACCGTCAGGAGAAGGGAAGGTCAACTTAGGGTTGTAAGCCTCATGCAGTATAATGAGCGAAGGAATGTATTTCACTCTGAATCTTACATAAAGCAGATAATCACTATGTAGAATGCAATCCTATAATTGCTCTTTTTGTCTCAATTTTTGTTTTGCTTCACCTTTTAAAAACTGCCACTGAAATAGTGACCATATTATTCATTTTTCAGCACAAGCTTTGATTCTTCTGAAAGATGCAAGTGCAGGCTCACCCACAATAGCCTTTTGATAAGGTTACTGTACATTCTAGCTATACAATATTTTATTTTATTATTAATGAAGCTGCCAGTCTAACACATAATGCAAGGAAATTAATTCACAAGGGAGGGTTAATTATCAGAAATTCAAAGCATGCACATTTCCATTTAAAACTGAAATGTAAAGATAAAGGCAGCAGTTAATTCCTGGATTTCTTTTAATGTGGATCTTGTGTCCCTAATTAGGCTGAGCTTAGTGACCTTGGAGTTCTCTGAGCTTGGTTGTTTTCTTGCAAACATTTTGTTACCTGGCTAGGTAACATCTTCAGTGCTAGAATGGGATGGGGTTTGCTCTCTGTTTATATACAGTGGCATGCCCTGCCAGCATTGGTGGGTGTGGGGGTTTTGTGGGTGACTAAGGTCACTCATAAACTATTGCAAAGGAGTGGGGGGGGAGTTAATAGGGTTAGGGTTAAATGCAACTAGTTAATGCAATCTTCAGCTAACTGCATTCTGACAAGAAAAGTTGTATGGATGGCAGCAGTTCCAGGTCTCAGGTCCATAGCTGTTATTATATTTTCTTTTTATTTTCTTTTGACCACATTGTAGAAAGACAAACATGCTTTATCTTTACCATCCAATTCTGTTTAAATATTGTTTAACAGTTTAAATAGATATTGTCTCTCTACATGTATTTATTGCAGAAATTTGATCCATAAATACTATACTATAACATTCATGTTAGAGAAGCAGTAGAAATGTAAGGTACTGCCTTATACTGAATCAGACTGTTGGTCCATTTAAGCTAGCATTATATAGTATGACTAGCCTGAAATGTCTGAGAATTAACTTCAGGTATTATATAGGTAAAGCATGTGCTCTGCTATTAAGCTAAGACTGCTTCCCCTACTTCTGATTCTGTGTGGCATAAAAACTGTGTGGGTAAAAAAATGAATCACAATCTGAATTAATCAATAGAGTGAATTGGCTGCAGAAAAGCCAAAAGCTATATTGAACAAAGGAATGAACTGTACAGCTCAGCACAGATTTGGTCTCAGCTAGAATGTTACGTCTAGTTTCTGATAATAGCATTTTGTATGTAGAGCAAACAAACTGGTGACACTTCAAGAAGGAGAGGGAGAACAACTATTTCAATTTTCAAATATGTATAAGGGTATCATTAAGATAAAAGGGAAGAACAATGCAACCCTATGTGGATAAAATCTGCAGCATGTTACACTTAATAATGTATGAGAGGAAACAAAAGCATAGAGACTAAGAATAATTGGTCAGTGGAAGAAATGATCAAAATAAATTATTATATTTCTTCCTGAGATTTTAATTAGACTAGAAATACCATCTGTTGGAAATAGCTGAAAAAGTCACTCAACTATTGGAGAACAACTGGAATGCCATCTGAGTCATTCAAATTAATAAAATCTGTGTTAGTTGGGACAGTAGTCATTGTTCCAGCCTCCCTGCTGCATAGCAACCTCTCTGCTGAAGCTCCTGGACTTGATGGCTGGACTGGTGGTAGAGTTCCCCAGGCTTATGGTATTGGGGGATTTTAACCTGCTTTCTCTGGGGGCAGAGTCTGAGGCAGCTTAGGAGTTCATGGCCACCATGGCATCCATGGAGCTGAGTCATATGCCAGATTGGTTTTTCTGTCGGGCAATGGCAGTGTGATCTGGAGTTGGGGGAACTGTTATCATCCCCTGTCATGGTCAGATCACTTTCTGATTGCTCTGCAGTTCTCTGGGGCTGCTCCTCACCACAGGGAGGCTGGACCTATTTGATTGGTCTGCCCTAGGTGACTAATGGGCCCCACTGGGTCCTAGAGGAAGGTTGGCGTTGTTCCTAAAGATCTGGTGCAATGTCCAACCAAAGCCTTGGTTGGTGCCCAGAATGGGGAGGCAGTGGAGGCCTTGGATCAAATCATGCCTATGCAGCATCTCTTCTCCCAGGTATCCTGAAGCTCCCCTTGGTTTACAGAGGAACTGAAGGAGATGAAGCAGGAGAAGAAATGCCTAGAGCACCATGGCAGTAAGGGCAGTGAAATGTCAATACTTCTCCACCTTTACTGTGTCCATGGATAGCTGACTGGTGGCCTTGTTCAAGGTAACCCAGGCCCTCCTGGGGAGGGCTGGTTCGGAGTTTCACCTGCAAGGTTGTTGTGAGGAATTTGCCAGGCATCTGTTGGATAAAGTTGCTTGGATTTGCTCCAAGCTGGACTCTAGCCTTGAGGTAGGTCCCATAAAGGTGACTGAGGCTCAGTCTAGCTTGGTCATCTGGGAGGAGTTTGAACCTGTTAATCCTGATGGAGTAGTCAGGGTTCTTGGAACTGTAAGCTCAGCCACCTGTATATTAGACCTCTGTCACTCATGGCTGGCTAAGGCTTCCTAGGAGGTGGCATGTGGTTGGTTAATTCTTCTTTGAGAGAGGGGGTGGTCCCACAATCAATTAAGGAGGGGTGGTGCTCCTCCTCCTCAAGAAGCCATTGGTAGAACCATTTGTGCTGGCAGTTGTCATCT